AGCTGACTGATGAAGTGGTAGTGATGATGAAGAAGACATAATAAGATTAGTAATGGTAGCAGTAGCAGTAATAATGATAATGGTAATATGAATGGGCTGTTATAGTTTCGACTCGATCTATATATAGCAAAGGCTAGGGTTTGAAAGCAAGACCCCAGCGGCCACCACTCACATAGCCACATATGATATAAGTATTTAAGAAAAGCTAGCCCACCAATCGGACAGATCACTTGGTTCCTGCATGCACGTAATACATTAATGAGATAATTAATTACGTATATGAGGCAATATTTAATCAAATTTACCATTTCTTTACAGTAGCAGTAGAGGTAGAAAACTTATGTCGGCCTACCATTCAATTAATTAACCAAATACAGTTGATATGGATGCTTAATAATACAACCGGATATGTACAAAAGGTATCAAACTACATGCTCTCCATTTTATGCTATATTTGTTTTTATTATACGCAAGATTTGTCAAGTTGGAGAGTGGTTATGGTGAATACTCTATAGTAAGAGTCACCATTACTACTAAGTGCAAATTGGGTATTAAAAATATTATTTATTAATTATTTTTTGATAAATTATATTTTATGAAAAAAATATTAATTAAAATTCTAACTCTTTCTCTCACTTTGCAGATCTCTCGTCACCACTCTTTTTTTGTTTTCTCAATCTTTTCCTTATTTTCGTTTAACCGAATTAATACCACTACAAAAGTAAAATAAGAAGTCAATATCAATCCATTAAATAAATACTACCACTTCAAGTAAAAAAAAATATTCAACACCATTATAGAAATAAAACAAGAAATCATTACCAAAACACAAAAACATGCTACCACTGCACTCTACACAAAATCACTAGCTACCACTACCATAGGTCCATAGCATATATTATTTATTAACCAATGTCCATAGCATATATTATTTATTAACCAATATCATTGCATATTTATAACCAATACCAATACATGAACAGTATGATAATATTAATACAAAAAAGCAATACAATTACATTATAATCAATACCAATGCGAAAAAATAATACAACTAAAATTAATACCAATACGAAAAAAATACATATATACCAATAAAAAAAAAGCAATACCATTACATTATAATTGATACCACTCTCTCGATAAGTCTCTCGATAAGACCTTCCGAAAATCCACAATCATGATCATGAATAAACTTTCAATGTTGGTTATGAGTAACTATTTGAGTTCTGGTTTTTGGTGATCATTATGTGCAGCCAATGCAAGCTAAGAATGAGATAGAGGACGAGGCATACCGGATCAATCAAGTCAGCATGCTGGAAGCGATCTCTTACACCATTGAATCGAGTTTCTAAAGACGTTCTATGATCAAAGATTTCACTCCTACTTATATAGTGTTCTAATAAGTAGGGCTGGCTATTTGGACCGGGACCGGATGAAAAACCGGAAACCGGACCGTATAACCCGGACCGAGACCGGACCGGGACTGGATAGTAAACAATCCAATCCAATCTTTGGGCTTAGATTTGAGGTAAAAAACCGGATAAAGACCGGATAAGAGAGCTCAACACCCAAAACTTAAGGGTAATTTGCATAAATGGTCACAAACCTTTGCACTTAGTACAAAACTTAACCAACTCCTCACCCTTTTAGGCCTTATGCCACTCAAATTCCCACAATCTCAATATAAAATCAAGACCGAATTGGGACCGGATCGGGTCAAGACCGGACCGGATCAAGACCGGACTGTATCCAATCCAATCTTCGGTCCTTATATTTTCAAAAAAACCAGACTGGACCGGATCAATTTGGGCCAATTTAACCGGACCGGACCGTATAGCCACCCCTACTAATAAGGACGGGTAGCATGACGTTAACGAGAGAAAGTATGTTCTCGTGAAAGAAAGTTATTATGGTCATTTTTTTTATTTAATTTTAAATATCACTTGAATTCACAAACTTACGAATTTATATATATATGAATTCATAAGTTCAATTCATCGTATACTTCGTCTCAATCTCTTTCTCCAATCTGTAGAAACTCTTTCAGTCCTCACTTGTTGACTGAGAAAGGAGACAGGTAGCGCGAAGTCTAACTAACCAGCCCATTAATGGCCAAGAACACACTACAAGAAAAATGGACTATAGAGACGATGAAAATGTGTCTCTATTGAATACTCATTTGTCTCTATACTTCTTTAGATGCATATACCATATTTGTCTCCTCTAGAGCAGTTGCAATAGCCTTATAGAGACAAATATTATTTGTTACTGATTGGGAAAACTACATCTAATATTTTAGTCTCCAAAGACTTTTTTAGAGACGATTATTTAGTCTCTATATGCACATTTAAAGATATAAATATTTGTCTCCAATTTCACCTTTAGAGACATATTCTTTTGTTTATATATTAGATTTTCCCGACATAAATATTTGTCACCAATTTGACTTTTAGAGTAAATTTGTTTTGTTCTTAATCTTAGTCATTCGAGACTATTATATTTGTCTCAAAAAATTTCTTAAGCATAATCGACTACAACTTATTTACTTACCAATTCAATTCTAATTGAAATTAAAAACATAACCGTATATTTTGTCAATTTCATTACTATTAGTACAAACAAAATAAATCTATGAAATCCACCATTTTTTTCCATTTATTGAAGCCAATCAATTTTGGTGCTTACATCAGAAATGTTTCTAAATGGATAAAAACTATAGTACAATGATAATCAACAAAATTATGAATTTGAACAACACAATAACTTTATAAACGCCCCTTAGTTGTGCCTTCAGGTTCCTTTCCCCAATCACTATCACCATTATCAACATATATAATGCACAATTGACTCCCCGTCACTAGCCTTGAAAACTTTATGCTAATTGTGTAATCTTTCACCAGCTCCATTATACAGTTGACTCTTGCAAGTACAGGGTATGGGTAAATTTGGCTTTTGAGAACAAGAAATTGAGAAATACCCACCTATAAAAACTAATCACAATACCCCAAAAATACGCATATAAAGGTAAAAACCCTCACAAGTCGAGGAATTACCATGTTAATCTGTATTTCTCTGAGTACAACTTTAAAAATAGGATAATGCCTAGAGATGCAATTAGTTTTCCATATATAAGCACCTTCACCTGTAGAATGAACCAACAAAACATAACCCCACACTCAATAGAAAAGCAACAGCCAATTGAAACCAGACAACCCACAAACCCAAACTCAAGTGGAAACGTTGATGGATAAAATATATCTGAAAGTATTTGAGACGTGGGAATCTTAGGGGAAGGTGTATTAATTGCATGATGAAAAAAGAGATCAACAACAGGATGATATACAACAAAAGGGGTTAGAGCAAGCAATTAAAAAGGATACAATTACCTTTTTCAATTGCATCATAATCTTACACAGTTGAGGAGAAAGTTATAGATGGATCCTGTTGGAGATGAAGATGAGGTCACATATATGGAATTTCGTGATTTGAATGGGGGAACTGCTGCATCAGACCGAGCTCAGAATGGGGGAACTGCTGCATCATATGAAATCTCTTCTTTCCCATTATGTGCGCCTTCGGTGAGAGAATGTAGTGAGGGCACCCCATTCCTTGTATAGCAATTGACATAATATGATAGAGAGAAACAGGGCCACGATGGAGAAGAAGGCAGGATGAGATGGAGACATGGAGTCGGCCGGGGAAATTTAGAGATCACTGCTAGTGTTTTGAAATGGGATGCATCCTTATTTGCGAATTTTATTTTTAATTTCCTTTTATTATTTCTCTTATTATTCCGTCGAAAACTCCAAATAGAGATTGCATAAGCCTATAGATTTGTCTTGAAAACTAACCATATATCTAAACTAAAATAAAATATTAAGAAATTAATAATAGTATCAAATCTTAAAATAATAGCTATAGAGACACATATCATATCTGTCAAGTATACGATACTTCTAGAGACAGATATTAATACTTTTAGAGACATTTTATAAAATTGTCAAGTATTTGATATTTTTAGAGATATATGATGCATTTGTTGCAATATTTTAGTCGCAATAGACGAGTTTTCTTGTAGTGACACCTAGTTGTCTTTGTTTTCTACCTTGATTTGATGTAGAACATTTTGTTTCTTCTTGATAATTTGTTGCTTACTTTTACCTTTTGTGTTTAAGTATTCCCAATAGAATCGAATCTGGGACCTCCAGATTCAATGTTAGTGATATTAAACACAAAGGACTTCAACTTTTATTATGAGGCAATTTTCGTAAGAGGGCATTTCGAATTTTAGAGTTTTTGGTATACTTTCAGGTCAAATTTTCAACTTTGAGCATATATTCTGAAATTTATCCCTAATAAAAGTTTTAGTACTTAAAAAGTTATGCAATCTCAATCGGATAATCAAGAGCAAAGTTATTGCAATTTGAAACCCTAAAGGATATAAATCACTAGAGACCCCAACGATCTATGACAAGAACGTTGAGTTCCATAACGATCTTGCCAAATCGCTTAGAATTTCAGTGATTTTCCATTGATTGTGAGACCTCAACGGTTTACACCAAACTTAGGTAGACTAGAAAATTTTAGTAAGTGGCAGAGTGGTATTATGCAATTTTTTTAGTAAATAATGAGGTAGTTTAGGAAAAAATAAGATTGGAGGAAACAGATAGGCCCGAGACAAATAAAAAACCAACATACTGAATTTATAGATCTCTATGAAAAGAAAACTAGTCAATGTGTGACCACAGGGGAATAAGAGAATCAACATTCAACATCCCAATGACTCAACCATCCAATCCTTTCTTGAAATAATGTACGTCATTCAGATTGGGATTCAAAAAAAGGAAAGAAGTGCCTGATCTTGGGCTGCGAATTGGACAAATAGTTGAGTCAAGACAACGTTAACTTATTTGGGTAATTGGGCTGCTACTGGCAGCACACCAGGTTGGATCTTTCAGAGTCTAAGATATAAACAAAATCCCTCCGACTAAAGCGCGCCGTTCCCGCAACCAACCCTGCCGGAGAAAATGGAGCTCTTCCTCCTCATTTGCTTACTCTGCCTCGTCGTCACCATCACCCTTCACCACTTCCTGCTGCCAACAAAACCTCCGGCGGCGGCGGGCAAACTCCCGCCGGGCCCCACCCGGCTGCCAATCATCGGCAACATCCACAACCTAGGCGGCAAGCCTCACAGATCCCTAGCCGATCTTGCCAAAAAACACGGGCCGTTGATGAGCATCAAGCTGGGCAGAATCACCACCATCGTCGCTTCTTCCCCAGCCGTGGCCAGGGAGATCCTCCAAAAGCACGACAACGTCCTCTCCCACCGCCACACCGGCCTCGCCATGGAAGTCCTCGACCTCCACAAATTCGCCATGCCGTTTCTCCCCCCGCATTCCAAGTGGAGGAACCTCAGGAAAGTGTGCAACTCCTATCTCTTCACCCCTCAGAAGCTCGACTCGTATCAGGAGCTCCGGAGGGAGAAGGTTCTCGAGCTGTTGGAAGATGTCCGACAGACTGCCTCCCAGAGGCCTGGAGAGGCGGTTGACGTCCGCAGGGCGGTGTTCAGGGCGACTCTGAACTCTTTGTCGTCCACCATTCTTTCGTTTAATCTAGGGGATGTGGAGAGGTCAGAGACTGCCAGGAAGTTTCAGGAGGATGTGAGTGGGATCCTGGAGGAAGCAGGGAAGCCCAACTTGGGAGACTACTTCCCTGTGCTGGCGAGTATGGATTTGCAGGGGATACAGAGGCGGATGAAGGGACATTTGGAGAATGTTCTCAACTTGTTTCAATGGGTCATCGACGAACGGGTGAGGAAGATCAAGTCCGATGAGCACTACGTCTCGCCAAACGACATGCTCGACACGCTTCTGGCTATTGGAGACGACGACAATCGTGAGGGGGCTGCCGCCATGGATCCACTTTCCATCAAGCACTTGTTGTTTGTGAGTAGGTTTGATTAACCCTAAAGGCTGCTCGCTTAATTAGATCGAGGATCAATGGTTGATTAATTCTCTTTTTTTCGCTTATTTAATTTCTATATTCGCTGATCTTGGTTTGGCCCGTCAGGATCTGTTTGTAGCAGGTACGGATACAACTTCAAGCTCACTAGAATGGGCAATGACGGAACTCCTCCGCCATCCAGACAAACTCGCCAAAGCAAGGGAAGAACTAGATAAAAACATTGGAAAAGGCAATCATTTATGTGAATCAGACATCACTCGATTACCATATCTACAAGCAATAGTGAAAGAGACCTTAAGGTTACGCCCAGTAGGTTCCCTGTTAATTCCGCAAAGCGAGTGAAGATGTGGAAATATGTGGCTTCATCGTGCCCAAAGGTGCACAAATTCTGGTCAACGTATGGGCTATAAGTCGGGATCCGATGGCATGGGACAATCCAAACTCATTCGTGCCGGAAAGGTTCTTGGGTTCGACGATCGATGTTAGGGTGAATGATTTTGAGCTGCTTCCATTTGGTGGCGGAAGAAGGGTATGTCCTGGAATGTCGTTGGGATTGAGAATGTTGCATATGATGTTGGGTTCATTGATTCACTGGTTCAAATGGAAACTGCCATATGGGGTCGCGCCAGAGAAGCTAGATATGGAAGAGCAGCTTGGGATGGCTTTGCATAAGTTCAAACCATTGTTTGCTGTTCCGAGCCCCCGATAATATCTTATAAAAAGGATTAAAACTGTACTCGAAATCTATGGTTGTTGTAATCGTGTCAAATTTCTTCCTGAGAATGAGAACGAAGTCATAAACTGCAAATGGATCCGGAAAAGCTTTACTCTTCCTCTTCATGCATCTTTTTGCCCACTCCTCGATGCGTAGTACGTACCTAGCTACCCGGCCCCTTCCTTGTTTACATCTCGAGTGTCATATATATATATATATATATGGCTACATGAATGAATCATCATGATGAATCTTTCCATTTTTCATAGATGACGTCAAACCGTTTGAGTTTGATTGAGTTACATATGATGCATGTTTTGTTACAAATAATAATCATACGCCAATATTTTCCCCTTCAAATAGGAGGGGATTTAGTGACGAGAATTCAATGTCTTTATGGATTAGATTGGTGGATTTGATTTATGGATTAAAGTGATATCGCTATACTGAACCATTATGTAAATTTGAAAAGTTTAGGTACTAGAATATAATTATAAAAACTTTAGGTATCAAAAAGTAAATTTAAAAGATAATTTTCATAAAAAGTTTTTAGGTTACAAATGTGAAATATAAAAAAATCGGTACTAAACTATAATTTTCCCAAATATTGTCTTTCTATAAATATAATTTTTTATTGCAAAAGTCATGAATCCACTAATACAATTTTTTTTTATGAAGGTGATAAATGCATTAAAGGAAAAAAGAAAAGAGTTTGTACAAAGGGGACATGGTACTAGCACAAGAGTTGCCAGTGACCAGAAGAGAACGACTAGAAAAAGGAAAAAGGAGAAAAGCAAGTCGAGAGGTTTCTTCTCAACCCAGGCAAGAGGAAGCTAAAGTCGCTAGCTTAAAAGGAAAACAAAAACAGCAAGTACAGCCGCGGCAGGCAAGACCGAGATGAAAACAAAAGAACGAAAATTGCCCGGGTGCTATCTAGGAACGCAACAATTGTTCCGCCCCAACTGAAAATAACATCGCAGGAAAGCTTGGAAACAATCTGTCGAAAAAACTCTTCAAGGGCAAGCAGGACAGACAGCACCTGCCCACCTGAAATAACAATTGCAAACAACACACCGATTCCGGAGGGAGGATCATGATGGGCAAAAAAGCTGTTGAAGTTTATTCTGCAATCACTGAGAAGCCTGCATTTGGTCAGCTTTACCATGAGCGACTAACCATCCCGTACCCATTTTGAGAGTTTTCAAAGCCGTTCCTTCAGCACTCATCATAAAATTATTGAAAATCCTTTGATTACGTTCCAGCCAGATAGACCACGATATTGCGTGCAGAGCAACATATTTGAACCATGTTTCTACGCTATCAGGACTAGCTGTCGGCCACATTCTGATAATATTGTTGAGATCATAATTGGATGGGAAGACGATAGACCTGCAAGCTTCTCAATCAATTTCCAAACCTGTTCGGAAAAGGGGCAGTTCACGAACAGATGTTGAGCCGATTCTTCGTTTTTGCGACATAGTTTACACCGATTTGCTAAATTCCATCCTTTCCTCTGAAGCATATCAAGGGTCAGCGTCTTCTTGTGGGCGAGGATCCAAAGAAAGAAACAGATTTTCGGTGGTACACAATTTCTCCAAACTATCTACAATGGAAAGTCAGGCGCACCTGGAAACCTGTTAGCTGCAAGAACTCGGTACATGGAGTTAACGGTAAACCCTGCTTCCGGGTTGGGCTGCCAAACAATTCTACATGGACTGTTAGCTTTATTGATAATGTCATAAGAATTAAGAAGCTCGATTAACCCCTCTCTCTCCCTTTCAGCTCCCCCTCTCAATTAACAGAAAGATTAATATTCCATATTGTAGGATTACCTGAGTAGTCGGCGATGTCTCGGATCCTAGCTTCCGAGCTTGAGGCAACAACAGCGAGACGGGGGAAAGAAGTAGAGCAGTCCGGAATCCAACGGTCCTGCCAGAAAGAAACATGAGCGCCTCCACCTAGGACGATGAAAGGTATGATTTCAGAACTGATCATTTTCTCGTGTAATATTAGCCCAAACAGAACTTGAGTTGCATCCTGTGATGCTGCCAGTGTGCCATTGGGAACCTTGATTCTTATATTTGATGTCGATGAGGAATCTCCATCAACTATTTCTATCGGTTGCAAATTTCCACAACCATTTTGAGAGCAGCGCGCTATTAAAAGAAGCGAGGTCAGAAATTCCCAGACATCCGTTATCCCTTGACGCTTTGCAAGTCTTCCAATCGACAAGGAAGAATTTCCTCTTGTCACCTGTTCCACTCCACAAGAAGTTCCTTTGGATATGGATTAAATGAATTGAATTTAAATGATTAAATGAATTGGATTTTAATGGATGAATTAAATTGATGAATTAGATTCAAATTACCACCTCAATATGAAATTTCAGTCGATTGTCAAAATAAGAAAAAAATATGACGAAGGTCCACACCTAGAGAAATTATGGCCCACCTCCATCTCCAAATAAAGCAATTTGTTGACCCAAATGGGACATTTTGTGATTTTGCTAAACTTTGAACTGTCATAATTTTGTCTATTGATATCCGATCGTGGCAAACTTTTATTAGATTTTGCATGACTTTTCAAATACAACGTAACTAGAAAATTTTGACAAGAGAGTATTTCTCCGGACTTTAGGGATTTTTAGTATATCAGGTCTAATTTTTAATTATGTGCATATATTCTGAAAAATCGTCACAATGACAAATGTGCTAGGTAACCGAACCGTTATCCTAACTCATTGAGTGTTTCCCCCCTTTTTTGGAAGGTCCTTTCGCCATTCTTACTTCTTAATAAAACTTGTACTCATTTTAACATTTTTTGTTTGCTTTAAAATTGGATACAAACTCAATACAAATTTAGAAGGAATAAAGAAAATTGAGCATCGTTATCATAAAGAAAACTAAAAGGAATGAAATTGATGGTTTATATCCATCATCAACCATAAATTCATATATCAAATCCAAATTAAAACATATGAAATTTTGTTAGCGGTTAGTCGGATCGATTAACAGCTAAGCTGTAACAGATTTATAGGAACCTCTACTATGAGCCGATCTACCATATCCTTCATAATTTGCAATTAAGTACTCATTAATTGGCGATTAACAGTTAATCCGAGAATTGACTAGTTGATTATCAGCCATACCGTAAAGTGTCGAATTCGAGCTCAATATGTTTCATGGTTTTCCCCTTGCTCTTTAGTGCAATTGTAGTGGTAAATATATCTATAGAAAATAAAACCTGTCAATTCAACATTCAACGTTCCAATGACTCAGCCATGCATTTATTCCCTTGGAGTAATGTCATTCAGAGTTTGACTTGGACTTGGAATAAAGAACTCCATGATCTTGGCCTTGGGCCTGGGGCAGGTATTGATGCAGACTTGACCCCTTAGGGCTGAGAATTGAACAAACTGATACATACAGAGCCAACCCAACATTATTAGGGTTGCTAGTTGTTACTGGCAGCACACCAAGTTGGAATTGGAACAAGCATCAGCCGACATTAATCCTTTTGTCGTAAATCACGTCGTCTGTTGTAGTTATTGTTAAGATTTTGGGTATAAATAGCCTGTAAGGATTTTTAATCTAAACCACGTCCCAAGTAGAAGCAAAGAAATAGACAAGTATAGAGAGTACTGATCGGTTGTGGTGGTGGTGGTGGCGAGATATTAGAGCATAGTGATGAGTTCTATTAATGAGTTTATTTATGTGTAAAGTTATGAATTAACTTTATCATATTCTAGGAATTGTGTTGGACCATATACAATCCAAAAATTCAACGATATAATGAGGTGCTTTAATAATCGACGACACATCCATATTGGTCTCAGCATTTAAAATTATATATGTAGGTACAAAAAGAAATGTCATCTTCTTCACTACCGCTTCAGGCAACTGGTGCTCATGTTGCGGCAACCCACCAGAAGGAAATCGGTCAAGTAGTGTGTCGATCCTCAGAAATCTTCCAACCGACAGTTTGGGGCGATCGCTTCTGCGACAAAGTTGACCTCTCACTCCAGGTAACACACATAAGTTATATAAATAAAGGTGCGTTTGGATAAATGAATTTCAAATTCATGTATTTAATTCCAATTTATTGTTTAGTTATTCATTTATAATTTAAGGATTTTAGATTTTAAAGTTTTTTATTTGTTGAGTTTTCTTTTCGACAATTTTCTTTCTTAAATTCAAATTTTCTACAAACATGTCAAAAAATTTATTGTTAAAATTACGTTTTGGTACCTGTATATTCTTTCCTTGCATTATAGTACATAAACGGTGAGTAAATAAAAATAGTTATTTTTTGTGTTGTGGGGAATTTCAATGAATGGTGGTGTTGAAGAACTTTGAGTAATATACGTACTTGTATACTTTTTCCTTGCATTATTTTCTTAGATGAAAGACAACATATCGTGTGGTTGAAGAACCATGTTAATTGGCTTCGATAAGTCAAATTATTAGTACGAAATGATATTCTTTGCAAACTAGCAAGAAGTACTATTTGTTCTAATAACAATTCATTGTGCTTTTCTTTTCTTCTCTTAACTATATATGTTCGTAGACGAACAAAAAACAACACCCCAGATATGACGTTCTCAAGGAAGAGGTGGCGAAGATGGTGACACACGAAGTAAAAAGTGGAGATGATGATCAGGAGGCAATGATTGCCGACAAGATGCAGCTGATAGATACAGTCCAACGTTTAGGCGTTGGGTATCTTTTTGAAAGGGAGGTTGAAGAAGCACTTGCAAAAGTGCATGCTTTTGGAGAAGACTTATTTATCAATGTCGACGACGACAACAATACTATCAATCTCTATCATACAACTCTCCGCTTCCGACTGCTCAGACAACAGGGCTTTCCAGTTTCTCATGGTGAGAACACATTGTTTGCGGACTTTCTTTTTTCATACACTTTAACTATGGATAATTATCATTGGGTTGTTATATAATCCGCAATGTAGATGTGTTTATGAAGTTGAAGGACAAT